TGGATTGAATGGATCCCGTGAGTATCATAACTGGTAGATGGTAATTTATGAAGTTCATGTTGTAGAAGTTATTTGCATCACCTCCGAAGAAGCCTAACTTTGATTATGAGCAAAAGTTTTACCAAACTGTCAGACTTTTAGGTTATGCGATCAAATCGCTCCTGCACGAACCAGTTTAACATTGTACATCTGGACGATCTCCTAATGCCATTAGCCATGCGCTTCCATCCAATGACTTGCCTATTCGATATCAGTTACTTTAAAGAATTACTGTGTGTATTTGGACATTTAGTATACAGCTGGGCGATAGACTGACAATGCAAGCAGTAAAGAGCGCAATATCGGTTCACCGGGAAATTCAAATTGGACTAAACCGTATATATTTTTCATTTTTGTTACCCAAGCTCATTACGGGCTTTGGAGTTGTTGTTGTGACAGGCTTTTCTCAAATTCAGCCTAGCAAAAAGTGCTATACATATCCTAGTGGAAGCGGAGGAATACTTCCACGTAGCTATTAAAGTGTAACAAAGTTGCTTCCCTTCAACTGCTTAATTCACTGTTTTCGTACATGATCCCCTATTGATGAGGCAAAGAGACAGTAATATTAAGGAAGGACTGTTTTTCAGACGGCCTTCCAAATGGCGTGCTACCTACTAAGCAGTGGGCACACAAGCTTCGAATTTTACCGTGAATTGTTATCAGTAGCGCTCACGAGTAGCTATGGGTGTCTGCGCTTTATCATCCTTTTTAAAATCCCATATGGAATCAAGGCCGGCTATCGATGGCTTTTTACACCACATCATTCACTGGAGCGTGATCCGCCGCTTTCATATTGCAGAACGGTATGAATAACTTTTTTGCAAGGCTCTCCACGCATGAGGCTGTGAGCCATGATGGAAGTTGTGGATGAAATCAACCTGAGGAAAGATGATACAGTAACTATTTTATCATGTGGTCAAGCTCGATTTGCCAAAACGTGCTGGCTTCATCCACGTATTGCCAACATGAAGAGGTAAGGCTAGTGGATCAAAACCTTATTGAGAGAAATGGTGATTGATAAGGTGTGAATTCAAGTTCTAGATTAGTGCAGTCATCGTCAATAAACTGCATCTAATGTAGACCGGAAAGTGTCGATGTCGGGATTTTCGTCCCATTAATGCCATTTATGGCTGCAGCGGTAGTCATTCAAAACATCTTTGACTAAATAATTTTAGTTGAGGGTTGAAATCAGTGCAAACTAATCTTTTATCATAAGTAGTTGACAAAAATGCACGCATTTTATACGCGTGCTGTGCTACTCAACAGTAATTAAATCGCATTAAGTGGCAAAATAGTTAATTTAGTTTTGCCGACAAACTCAAATATATAACTCTATATGACCGCTAAACTGAAACTTGTACTTGTTTCCCAAATGAAAGCTGCTTTGGTAAGAGCGAATGTGTGGTGTGGGCATTACCGATTCGGTAACTGGTTAAAGCATCCTTGAATGTTAAGACTAGGCCCAAAAGTGACGTATATCAGATAAAACTTTATTGCAACCGTAACGTTTAACTAGCTGATTAAAAAGTTGTTATATAAATTTTTTCGGTGGTTCTCGGCTTCAATAATTAAAAGTCGAAAAAATCGTGGGTTGTGTGAATAATAGACAGATACGCAAAAAAATCACATGGAAAATAAGATCATAAACTCGTGCTGGATACGCATCACTTTGAACTAAAAGCAATTCTTTAGAATAACCAGCCATAATTCCCTCAATTCTTTTGATGAAAGACCTTACTAGTATTATTGCATTTGGAGCAACAGCATGACACAACTTACTTGGATTTGGTCGCTTGACACACATAAGTTAGAACATGCAAATTTTAGCCCAAAGATGTTTTGGTAGGTTATAAACTATCACACACTAAAATACGGTACGTTCATCCGGTTTTCCACATCTCTTACCTTCCAACGAATGGGCGATAAACAATGCTTAAGCTAGAAATGCAAAGGCACTGCTATTCCAGCTTTGCAGTAATTTAGTAACACCAGATTCTCTGATAATAAATTCATGGTAAAGACCCTGGAACAATGGCGTTATCAGGCTTGTCCATGACTTAACAACACGACGGCGTCTTTCCATTATGACAAAGAAACCTGATGTAGTGTAGCCGGATTGGGAAAATGCATCACTTTCTAGTTCTTTACTAAATGGTTGCGTAATTTAGTTATGATTGATCAAAATGCAATAAAACACTTATTTTTGACGCAGTGTGTGACCACATTAGAAGTAACTTTTAATATTGTCTAGAGCCAGCATTGACTTGTTTAGGGATTGCCTTGGTTCGTTTTACAAAGTGTCCAGCAGCTGTTTCTGAAAGTGGGATGATGGAAAACCTTAATGTGTCAGGTTTGTAGTAGTGAAGGGAAACACAAGTGAAAGTACTTTGGATGGTGTCTGATTGAGCTCGCACCATTTATGAAACAAATAGCACGTTATGTTTTTGTCGGTACAAATTGTACACTAAACCCTATTTTAAATGCGAGTGCTGTCTAGCATAGATTTGTGCTTCCTATTGGACTGTCGAGAGCCGAAACAAAACCAAAGGCCACACAATTTTCAGTTCGGAGCCATGATTAAACTGATGACGAGAATGTGAATTAGGGTACGGATTCAATTTCAGTTGTGTACGCTGCCAAAGGTAGTGGAAGTTGGGAGTTTATGCTTCTTCTTACGAGGCAAAGGCTGAAAGATACCTTGATTTGTAGCTGCGTATTATCAAGCAGTTTCGTGGTGAGTCACTAGTGACGCTCCTACACTTTTTGTTTTTTTTAAAAAGTTTTGGCAAGGCGTGGATTTAAACTCAGGTATCAACTGATAACGTTTCGCAAAATCATTTTTTAGGGCACAATAAATAATTCTCTATAGAGGGCAACAATTTCTTCGTTCACTGAGTCTTGAATACGTAGTTTGTGCAGTCATGGTATTGTTATGAATGTCTGTGCAAACAAACAACGCTGAAATATTCAAGTCCATTCTTGAAAACTATGTTTTAAGCACTTATAACTACCCACTCTTTTAAGCGTCCCTTAAAGGGTTGACCTAATGTGAGTTCTAAACATGGAAATAAGCCTTCTCATACAAGTCTAGGTCACCAGAAACTCCTCCCTCAAACGATGCCTAATGATCGAACAAAGGCTGAAGTCTTGCTTTTCTGAAATGTATTTTGCATATTGGAAGTAAAACTACTCTGATAGCTGACGTTATTCCTCATTACTTTTGCGCATCTCCACCTTGAACTCTAACTGCCTATTTACCTTGGTGTTGAAAACGAGAAGTTCGTTTTCTGTCATCTAGCGCAATTCCCAAGACGCTTTACCTTGATGCGGGCGCTATATTGGTAAGAAAATTCCACTGGCTAGGCGCTACGTTAAATAAGGTGAAAATAGTTTAGACGAAAATTATCAACGAAAAGAGGCAGCATCTTTGTGCACACATTCAGCGTAGTCAAATAATTTATGAGACTTAAATTCGAGAAAACAGTGGATTCATCTGGTAAGGGTCTGAAACTAATCGAACATATTTTTAAAATTTAACTAAATTCTTGAAACTTTCACTTGCTGATCTCGTCAGCCTTAGCAAAGTACTAATACAAGTGTGTACTGGTATGAAATTTTCAAATGCTATTTGGGTTTCAAAATTGTGTGGTGGCACACTGCTGTCTGCTAATCCTACTGCTTCGAGATGCTACTTCAACACTTCACAGGTGGTAAGGTTATTCGCATTTGAGCTTTGCGTTTTTGATTAGCATCATTAAAGACACTAAAAACCATGTTTCATAAGAAGCTACGCCATTATGTTAATCTTCAAATATGCAGACGTGTTTTGCAAAAAGAGAACTAGATAGCAGGGGTGGGAAATTTTGTTTTAATTAAAGTAAGCAATAAAGTTTTGTAAAAAGTCACATTCAATACTAAACGATGGGAAGACTGTGAAAATTTTCCATCACCCAGGAATCTATTTTGCTGGCCACTGCAGTTCATTTTACCGTGGTCCACAACACATGCTTTGCATCCGTTTAAACTCGCTTCCTTTTAAGGACCGAGGACTTCAATCACGGTTTAAGGCAATGTTGAATTTAAATGGATGTCAAATGAGCACACGCATATGGGAAGGGAAGAGTGCATACAGGTGTGGTTAGAATAGTATCAGTGTGGTAATTTTTGTTGTTGTGCTGAGTGGCTGCATTTGGACAGCTTAGCTGAACGAATGGTCACGTTCGCCAGACCGCGCGGGTGACAGCAAAGTGCATGAATTCAGCCTACAACACATACACAGACCTCTGCCCCTCTCCAGTTCACCACAAACCCCAACACCATCTTGGCCACTGGCGCAGGCGGGAGAGGGGGGGTGGGGAAAGGAACTAAAGGAAGCGTTGCAAGGGTGAGGATGTGACAAGACTGTGAGGCGATTTGACTTAGTCAAATGCCAGGTCGCGGTATTCTGGGAAAAAGCTAAAGTGCCATTTCGTAGGTCACATGGTTAAAGAAATGAGGCAAAAACTCGGTTTGGTGACACAAATCGTGAGAATTAAGGCAGGCACATGCTCGCAGGAAGAAAAACTCTCGGCTTTAGATGCACCAGATCGTTTGAATGACTTTTTATTGCCCAAGAAACACAAGAGTTGTGTACGGATATACCGCCATAAAGAAAAGCAATACCTGTGAAATAAATTCGCCATAAAAGACGCGGTTAAAACAGCACTTACAAGCATTGCGTTTATTACAGCAAGCTGTAAACGATTTTGCATTTTGTACATGATTTGCCCATCAAGGTAGCCTAGTATAAAGCTAAAAGCAAGTCTACTAAAATACAGCTCTAATGTTAGAAACTTTCTAGGGCTGATGACTCAACTTTCGACTTCAGAACAACCCTGGAGAAGATTCGTTGTCTAACTTCGGTACTTCAACGAAACTGTTCACAGAATGCTGTCAAGTTGATTCAAAATTACTTCAGAGAAATGCTACCTCGGCATTGCTACTACACAAACGGTTTTGAGACGGATAAGTGGAGTGGTCGAAGTCACAGCCAAACTAAGGACCTCGAATCCGCTCCATCGTCGTTGAGGACCTCTGATCAAATGCACCTTCTTAATGATGCCAACCACATGGAGATTCCGTTCATTACCGATAAGGGATCAAGCAACACCACCCGTGGAAATGATATCTTTCGTATACTCCTCTTCACCCTAGCCATAGCCCTCTCCTTTCAAGCATGGTCATAGTCATTCATTATTGTACCTTTTTAGGATGTCTGTACATAAAAAAGGGAAAAAAACAACGAGAACGGGAAGATTAAACTATTTTTCCTGATTGTTAAGCCTTTATTGGATTTTCATAAAACAGCGCAATCCGAATTGCTGTTATTTGCAAATTTTGCAAGTCAAAAGTATCACCAATCTGTCATGCATTTAATGCATACAAAGAAAATAAATAATAAAAATTGAGTGTCTCACCCCATTTCTAGTTTTATGTGAGAAGTTTATCAGCATTTTGCAATTCAGAGGAAACTTGGCCCAAAAGGCATATTTTTCTTTTATTTTTGTCTATAAATAACCATCCTATTTAATCACAAGAAGGCAAAGCCTGAATAAATTTTCCAGGCAACTTTTATTCGCTAACAGTCACCTAATTAGTTTCGTGTGCTGAAGTGATTTGAATTTTACTACTCAATAGGGAGCTGTAGAAAAATTCCAAACCCACTGAAAGGATCATTAACAGGAAACTTACTGGTTTCTCAAATACCGCAAAAAATTTTCCTAATCAAATTATGTTCAATTTTTCCGAAGAAAAAAGATTATAAGATTCTGAAATCATTGAGCTGTTTGCCAAATTTATTCGGCTTAAAGAAGAGCATCTCACTTTTGCTCGCTGCCCTTCCCTCCGACACTTTGGTTAAAGCATTAGTTATTTTCAATAACATGAGAAGGCACGATCAAATCTACTTCATGCAAAAGTTTATTTTCCGAACAATGGCCGCGAAGCCTGCATGATTTGGTTTAGTGCAGTAGCATAGGACTTTTCCATGTTGCTATGTGCTGTCTTATTCAACGCTATTGGCGATGGAACGACTGCTCCGGACTTTTAATGCGACACAAACTAACATTTTCGAATGAAGGGATTTGGTATGATGACACAAAGTAATGATGCAATATCTCC